GATGACACCAATCAAAATGGTCTGTCTCATTGCGATCCAATAAAATTACCGTAATCTGATGTGATATCGACGAACGAGACACACGCGTGCAATCTTTTCAGGGTGTATGGTGGAGTAATTAAGCAGTTCAACTGGCAGAACGTGCGTTATACAAAAGCTTAAGCGGCGACAGTGCATGGGTTCAAATCCTACCGAGGCTGATGATGTTTTAGCGAGCCAAACATAAAACTATATACTTACTGTCTCTAAAAATCTGTCAAACAACATGTTCCAGTTTTGGCCAAAAGAGGTTCTGTGTGAAGTCATACGACCGACAAGGATTGGGGCAAAGCTTAGATGAGAGCGAGCAGAAGTTCAAGGAAAACATACATTTTCATAGCTTCTATCTACATAAAAATGAAAAATCACCCCGAAGTTTCTCACAGCGGTTCAACTTCACAGGTTCTCAAAGCACCATAATTAGCAGCAAGTTTATATTAGCTAAAAGACATTTTTCATCGTTACACGCCTTAGTGCATCGGATGCGCAGTAGAATCACGAGAAGTATCTGCCAAGGTAAGAGAACCCAGTAACCTGAGCCCGGAAACTTGGGGTAACCGATTGTATAAGACCTCAGCGGGATAGATGTAGACGGCAACAAAGCTTCCCACCATGGAAGCCGGATGGCAGTGACAAGATTCGACATTAGAACCACAATGAACGATGCACATAAGTGACCGTGATTTATGCCAACTGACTACAAACACCCTCACTAGCATACGCTTACAAGAGAGCTCGCATCAGAGGATTAAACACCAAACTAAGAGCAGGAATAGCCTGACATCCAAGGCCGTAACTGGGTCAGTGCAAAACAAGTAGTGCATCAAGGCGATTCGGTAAACAACCTTGATTTCAAATCGAGCAACACGAGTGCGAACAATACGCACACACACACACACATCTTCCTTGTTCACGAAACAGTTAGTGACTGGATTGGATATCGAGGCGTATGGGGAACTTGAACGCTTGACTCCGTCCATAGAATGTATTATGATCCGATGAAATGAACACACCGATCGCCAGTGGACTACAATTTCATACATCTCATCACTACCTTACTGATCACACTTTGGCTAGCCGAAATCTTCGGTAGTGAATTGTCACCCCGATCCCGCTAAAAACACTAGTTTTGGCCTGGTCAACCCAACGGTATTCTGCTCACGAGCAAATCACGAACTGATTTCTTTCCTACAAATATTTTTGCACCTTGAATTGGTTAGCACACAGTTCGCACTCAAACAAGAGTGTATATATATGCTATATGTAATTGAATCAAATGATTTAACTTTTTAGTTGTTGAGTGTTCGTTAATATTTTCACCAATGTGTTTCAGTCAAGAAACCTTTGGTGACTACGAGCACAGCAACAGATGACGAGGACAAATTCAATGAAGTACTCAATCAAATTGGAACGGAGTGTGAGCAAAATCATAAAGGACGAACCGGATTGGTCCGAACGTAAGTCCATCATTTGTTTATAGAGGACTTGTTCCTCCGAGCGTTGAGCCTCAGCTAATTCCGAGACCAGATCGAAAATGGAACCGTCGGCCAGTAGATGTGCGACCTCAGTGAGAACTTCCTCCGATACACCGGTTTGCACGTCACTGAGAAACGCATTAGGAGAGAAAGGAAAGAGAGAGATCTAGTAACAGGGGGTTTAACTAGAAACATACGATTGGAAATGTCTCAGCTCCTCCGAACTGAAGATAAAAATGTCTTCCTAGTGAGTTTTATAGCATTAAAGGCTACCAAATGCCAGAAGTGACCACCAATTCCTCTCCTTAGAGGTGATTCCATCCAAAGAGAGTGACTGGTAATTGGCAAATAATACACAGTCATCAACAGTTAAACAACACTTTCTAGTCCAGTTGATCTCCGTTATTGATGCTATCACTGGGCAACCAGAAGAGAATCATAGTTGTCGGCCAATTATTCAATTGATGGGCCATACCAGGTTCAGGATGAGTATAACTGAGCTTCCTAAAAAAATATGTCAATTAATGACTACCAATTTTCAGCATGCATCGAGTTATTCATTCAAAAATGCCAGTTTGTTGTGATTTAAATCCTAAGCACATCCGAGGCAAGCATTAATTGTTTCAGGGAAACCATTGCAGAATTCTTGATGCACAAAAGCGTATCTCTACACAAGCTTGAGTGAAAAAAACAACAATACAACTATCACCAACGAAAATGGAAGGAGATGGACTAATATGCGTGTAAATATAAATGCAGATTTTGTGCGTTCGTGAAGTTTTGTTGCATCAGTTTGCTTCTGATGCTTTTACGGTATTCGACCCGCAAGCTCGGCGGTTTCAGTTTCAATTTTTACAACCATTAACCCTGTACTTTGGTGTGCCGATTTGCTTGTGGTTTTCTGGTGCCAAATTTGGATAAAAGAGCAGTATGGGGATTGGAATGTTGAAAGCAAATTCAAGCGGAAGATGGAGAATTTATATATAGAATAGTGATAGGGGAATAATGAGTGGATGCACGAACGCCACTGTTTGCGACACCCAGCCATATCACTCAATGTCTCTAACCATTGGTNCGATCATCCCGAGGTCCCCAGCCAGGGAGCCTAACGGGGTCTATGTGACCCAGTCTCCAGTTGAATCCACTTTATCCAGAATTAGTGGTTATTCGAGGGAGGAGTATGTGTGTGTGGGGGGGGGAGGTAGCTTTAAATGTTCACATCTTATTGGTGAAATAACTCGGATAATAATAATGTTAAACTGATGCAGCCGTGATAATTGTATTATGTGCAAGAACGATTGCAATGATTCGGCAAAAGTCCGCGTCTCCCAACTACGGAACTTGTGAGACAATGCCCTGGCCGGAACAGTTTCAAATGTCGCTAAGCACTGTCAAATTCGACGGCGGAATTTTAAGTCTCCGAACTGCATCCAGGACTGTGCCTTAATGTGCGCGGATCTGGCGCCCGATGATTGTTTTTGGACGGGCGCTACTCACGATATCCATGAAACCGGTCCATCTCGTAGAAGGAACTACCAATCAATCATAAAAGCACAGGTAGATGAGTATACGGAGCGTAGCACCAATGACCGGAAGCCGAACGCGTCTGAAGTTGACCATTCCGCAGTGCTCTTATCCTTGATGTGAAACTGAAGCAGCGAAGAGTAAATGTTCTTCCAATTTAAACGTCAATCGGGAATCAATCCGCATCATCCTACATGAGCAGCTCAACCCTCGTAAGATCTGCTATAATCACTCGGTATCGTGAAGAATCAACAAAAAACGAAGTCAGATGGTGGAACGAAAATGTATTGCATCCTAAGAAGATTACCGCCCATTCGCCATATGACTGCATGATGACGATCGATATATACATTGGAAATAGCAGATCACTGGATGAGAAATTTTGTGCGATGGAAAGCGTAAATCGCTACAAAAGTCACCAACGGATCGCGTGTGTCGGCATTGTTTAGAAAGCAAGTATAAAAACCCTCAGTTCCAAAGGGTCAGTTTTGAGATGGTAAAGCAAAGCAATGAACAAGTAAAGACAAGCAACATACACACACCTTCATGTTTGCTGCAACAACAAACCGACAAAGAATACACGCCGATCCAATTGGATACTCGTTCAACAACACAGGTAGTTGATCGCGCTGAGTCGGGACGCGACGTGGAAATCGCACGTGCGCACACACACTTACACACACATGTGCACACGCTTTAGTTGCAGCCGAAAATCAGCGTATCAATTTTGTTTGTGAATACAACAGACAGATCAATGAAATCTGTCATTGTTTGTACCAAGTCACACTGTGTGTGTGTGTAAAAACCATATGGCGTTAAACAGCAGCGCGCTATCTCGGGTGTGTCCAGATAAGATTCAACCATTAAGTGTGCGTCACGTCTGTTCTATAAGGTTAAAAAACGGAAGTAGACAGGTAGGTAGCTGTTGAATAACACCAACTGGGCATCGGTTTCCTGAAGAGGGAAAACACTCAATTCACACTATAATTACGACAAACTGTAACTTGGTCCGGTTTAAAAATCTAAAAATGGTACAAACGGCCAGTAATTGACTATGGTAATGACTTTCCATGACGCAACCGAGAGTGCTTAACGTGATGTGTGAACAGAAAAACATACAGGAAATTATAATCTCACTCACATTGGGCAACGACTCATCAAACCTCGTAGTTCCATCAAGTAATGATAGACACGACGTTGATATAATTCGCGTTCATTCATCATATTACTGGCGACCAGAAGAGACGAGCATATCTGGATGGAAGAGAACCGCGGAAACCAGTAGGCGTGTGGAAATGGACAGGCAAATGGCACAGGAGACAGAGACAAAGAAGACCAGGGGAATGGCGTAACTGTCGCTGGATTGCGAGAAATCCTCCGCGTACCCGATTGATACATTCAAATAAAAGATTTGCAGGAATACCAGTATGCACGGATACTGGTGAGGAAGAGGACCAGACCCTGTTGCACGATCAATTCCATGTTGATCTTGTGCGACCAATGGTGTTACGAGAAGCGCTTAGAACCGAATTGAGTAAACTATCATGCAGATTCCACAAAACAAACCAAGCCGCAGATAGCCACCGTCTTCGGTGACTGTTATTATACATGGAAGTGGTGATGACTAAGAGGTTTCAATCGCGGTCACTGGTTTCGTGTAGGTCTCCGGGTTTGCGGTTCGAAACCTGACACCGCTATTCCCAAACTGGTGATAAATAACCTCGCAGTTGTCTATTCGACGGGGGGGGGGGTTGGCTATTTGTCACGCCGAATTCCATCACTTACGTTGTCAGTCTTCACAAGTGAACAACAGGCAATTTGGTCCATCCCTTCTGCTGTTCATCACAAAATGACTGAATAGTAAATAAAACAGTAACTAGCCACGTAACCAGTACATGGACTTCATGATCTGCTGTTACTCACAACCGTGGTCACACTACCTTCCCCACCAACAGAGCAACTCTCACATGGTGAATGGAAACCATTTTTTTATTGGGCTCTCTGGAACTCCCACTTCAACTATCGGTAGCGTTGCCTAAGCGGTGAGGCGAGCTTCATTGACCTCCGCCACCGTGCTCGCTGCAAAGCACGAAAGAATTGAGAGTGCTTCGGTCGAAAATCAGAGCACAGAGTTTGACTGTCCATGCCAGCTGCTTGAAGCAGTGAGATTTTTCGGAGAAACACCACTGCTGTCAAGTTTCTACAGCAAAATGGAACCTGGCGCAGAAAATGAGCAACATCTCATTTTGACCATCTGCGTTAGTCGTTATTCATATATGATCCCGGCAACATGTGATAACCTGCGTGTGACCCTTACTACACTAGAACGCAAAACCCAAGGAAGACGCGAAACGGTAGGATAACGATAGAAGATCGTAGCACATGTCGTGAGCTGCGACCTGTATGGATATGAATTTGTCATTGCCAGTAGACAACGATCCCCTTCGGTGTAACTAACCAGCTCCCTCTATCACGCCTGTGCCAGAAGATGTCAAGCGTTGTCATTCGTTTCGATATGCGATTTGTATCCTCAAGGTGTGAAGTATTAATTACCGGAAAACCCCTGTTATGAAACTTGATGATTAGAAATTGGTTGTGGTTTATTACTTTCCTTACCTAGACAACTGTTTGACAAATGACGATAGAGTGATACATATATATTATATTAACACACTGTTGCCGTCTATCTAATGTTTTGAATAACTGGAAAGGTCTCGCAGTTCGGTCTGTTGTTCTATTGTACTTTGGGGAGCCCCTAAGTTTGTGTGTGTATGTGTGCGTGGACACACTACACCGAGATTCACAAGAGGGGATTTTCTGGTAGTAATACTACGCACGCACCGTGAGGATACAGAGTGCACAGTGAAACGAATGACAACTCGTGTGGGTTTATCAACTGTGCTCGAAGCGGTATAACTGAAAATCGATCATCAATTCGATGTAGAGACAGTGGCGGGTATTGACCAATATTTTGTTTACTGCGAAAGTCATACAGCTTCTTTTACGAAAACCACTACAGGTTGTAAACAAACGAATTAGATCACTGTAGACGGCTTTTGGTGGTAGGCAGCTTTGTTGTCGTCTGGTTCAATATCACGCCTAACTTATCTGGGGCCTTATGTGGTTCATCACTTCAAGTCCTGGGGCTTAGGTTATCGGTTTTCACTACTGAACAACAGGTCCTCGTGACCATGGAGGTTTACCCCGTCTATTGTTCATCACACAAAATTAATTAAAAAAAAGAAAAAATCGACTAGAAGAGTGAGTGAATATAGTGAACTGGCTGCAGTGTGATTTGGGAGAAATTACTTCAAAATCGACCGGGAGAGTCTTTGTGATCATTGATCAATCATTATTTGATGAACAACAACAACGGGGAAATCTAAGCCCACGGCGAACCACATATAACCCTAAATGGCATTGGCTTGATACTTAACTGGACAACCACGAAGCTATCCGAGACCAAAATTGGGTAGCGATGGCGGGGTTCGATCAAGGGATTGGTTTAAGTCGAAAAAAGGGGAGGGTATAGCTCACGACCTGCAGTCGCAAAATCCACCTAAGCTTACGGCACGGAATTTCCCAAATGCAATGTGCATACGGATGTGAACACCTGGCCCGGTTTATTCCACAACACACGACCGCAACTTTCCAACAAGTTACCAGATAACGGTAATCAAACAGAAAAGAAGGAACAACAAGGTAGATAGCTAAACTATTAGCAATTCGCTTGCGGAATTCTTCTTTTGTCGAACTTATTTTCTTTTTCTAAAACAGTAAAGCCTCATTGGCACAAGAGATCACTGATTTCAAACAGACGTGTTTTCGCGCAAAGAAAACAATCGACAGAAATGAGGACAATTTTATTTCAATCAAAAAAGCTTCATTCATTTTGGTACTCAAGAAAACAACAGCTTACAATAATCTGTGAAGCGGCAAGAGTGAATGGGGCCGAAAGAGTGCACGGTTATTAGACTGCTCTCAAAGATCATCGTGGGGGGGGGGTCTCAAAGTGAATCCTCTTCGCATCGTTAGTCCACAGCGATGAAAACGAATGAGCGTCTGACGTCGATCAGCGGCATTGGTTGACCGGGGACACGGATTTATATGGTAGAGAAGTCACAGCAACCTAACAGCTGAAACCAGGTGAATGTATTCGACTGCACGGCACGAATAATTCCTGTGATGCATAGTTGTTCGTACTCTAAAATGTGCATGAACGGTACTTAGTTGGCCATTGCAACGGGTTTCTACCATGAAATTGAACCGAATCTTCTATTACTCCGATGCAAAAAGTAGTTAGGTTGTGAAAGTTTCCAGCTGAGTCATAACCCTGGAGGCTAGTGCTGGGATTAGCGAGCAGCGACAACCCCAACGAGCCCGCAAAGATGGACTGTGCTATATCGTGTAAAGGGTAAATGAGAAACGGTCAGATCAGCTGCTCGGTGACCGAGTGGGTAGCATACTAACGTTCTACCTGTGAGGTCCGGGATTCGATCCCTGGTTGGGTCGATGGATTCCCACTGCTGATGAGACCTAACCAAGTCGAAACAGCTGTTCAGTGCTTCCTAGCTTTTCAGTTCACACTTCATTCGCTCTTTATACGACGAACTTCCCTTATGAGATAACAACATTTACCAATCGAATCATGCTTGCAGTCGACCCTCTGATAATATCTTGTGAGTAAACGAACGCATTCGTCCTTCAACTCTCCCGAGCCAATTTCCTTCCGAGATGAGTGAGATCGGGGGACTATGAGAATGACTTTGCACAGTGATACGCATGGAACTGGTGTGTTAGACCAGGCAAAAATGTGTAAGCAGATTATCCTCCTCCTGGAAAATCCCCTGTATATGTGCTCCACAGTGACAAGTTGTGTCGAATCAGAACTTCTGGGAAAACCCGACCAGTGACAATGCCATTTAGAAATACTAGCTCGCTTTGACCTCAACAGACGCGCATCGAACCTCATTGATAGAGATCTGTTTTCTCTGCATAAGCGAGAAGCGGTGCGGACCACATGTGTGCAGCTGTACGTGGTCAACCGCAATCTGGGTATCGCTGGTACCAATCGATTCATCTGCTCATCATCCATTGTGAAATTACGTGGAAATCTCGTAGAGTGACTTTCCCGAATATAAAATTCAGATTGCAGCCCAGAGAATCTCTACTTTTTTGGACGTTATTTGAAATCACGGGAAAAGATAAGTATGTTGTTGAACGATGCAAAGTACATATATATCTGACCTTCGTTACGAATCACATGTTTTCTATTGATGGGATGACAAGCTGGATCACATGAAAGTGCAACTTGGATTGGCTCGAATGGCTTTCAGAGCTGATGGTGGGCAACATAAGGAGAATACTCGATCTAGGGGTGGGGTGGAGAACAGTGCGCGGTGAGTGTTGAACAGCAGTGGTCTGAATGCACCGCGATCGGGTTGAATGTTTGTGGGTGTGTTTTAGCTACTCTTTCTCTCTCTCTCTCTCCNACAGCCCTATGAATCTTACCCATAGGAAGAACAAACATTGTGATAATCGTGCATTTCACACACGGTTTTAGGACAATCCGTTCGTGGTACTCTGTTCTGACCTCTCGCCCACACTCCCACAACTAA